TCCTTCCACTTACTGCTAATTTGGAATTGTTTCAGTGAGTGGTTTCCTCAAAGGGCTGGCTATTAGTGTGAAACTTCATGTGGAGAATGTATATCTTTAATAGGCACATGTGTGAGAGTTTCTTTTCAGAGTTAACTGACACTTTACAGGTAGAAAAAGAATTGCTGTCTATGGGCAGCTTACCAAAGTTTAGTTGCTATGTTACAAAACGAGTGAAGCCATGCACCTTGTGGAGGCACATAAGCCTCAGAGTCTTCTGTTGCCTGCATCCAAATTCACCTTTGTGCTGTCATGCAAATTTACAGTGATTTTGGGTGAGAATTACTCTTTTGACAAAGTGTAGGATGTATGCTGTGGTGCTTCCCTCTAATAAGACAAGCAGCATGCCTGAAGCTGACAATGACACAGTAAGTGTTATTTCTGTAGAGCGGAGTTACCTCTTCTTTAAATGGTAAGCTCCCTTTTGAGGACCTTGCACAGGAATTGTCACAGTGCAACCTGTGTGTTGCCACTTCTGCCATGACTCCTGACTGGTTTTGCTGTGTCGAACAAAGCAAACTCGTTGATTGATACAGAAATAACCTGGAGGGCTTGGGGTTTTTTAACAGTCTTTCTCAGTGCTTCCTATGCCTGTTGAGGTATTCTGAATAGCAAAGGATTTGAGGTAACTGTGACCTCTTCTAGAAAAATTAGCATTAGGGGTTCGCTGTTTCAAAGCCACTTGAGAGTGAAAGGATAAATTTTAAAGATGACAGATAATTAGAGTTCCTTCTGTGCCCATCTAACTTAAGATGCTGGCATTTGTTATCTTAACGAGATTTTTTCCTACAGAAAATGCAGATGATGTGGATTCTCCTGAGTCCACGCAGGTGCACTTAGCCTTAGTGGTGTTACCTGGCTTGCACCAGCTGATGGACAAGAGGTGCTAATGCCTTGGCTCTGGTCGCAAAAATGACTCAGCAGATGTCAGCTGAACTTCTTTGTTTTGCCCTGATTCTACTTTTCCCCTTTTTGCTTCGCAAATGCAAAAGCTTTCTTAGCTGCCAGCTTTGCAAACTCACATTGGGATCTGTAAGTCAGGCTCTGTTCTCTCCTGCTTATTTATAATCAATAGTAACTGTGACTCAGCTCTGGTAGTCATGGTGCATTTGAAGACGGAAAGTGGGGTTGCCATTTGTAGTTTTCTTACCCTCCCCCTTCTCTTTTTTTTTTTTTAAACTTTCAAATCATCCTCCTCCACCTTTGTTTGAAAGAATGAAGTAGACTTTATTCATACATGCTTGGCTGCTCTTCCTCTCTAGTAACATGGGAGGAAACAGTCTGCTGTTCAAATTATCTCATCCCAGATGGCTGCGCAGCCGGAGTGCGGAGAGACTTAAAAGGTAAACCCAGCAGATGGTGAACTTCTGAGACGCGAAGTAATGCGCCTGCTAAATCAAAAGTTTAAAATATTTGAATTCTGTTTGTTTTAAAGTAGTAGACTGTTGCGAACAGGTCATCTGTGAAGTATACTGGCAGTTTTAAGCACTGTCCAATGTGTCATGGGCTAGCTAATCTACCAAAGAACATGACTAGCAAGTAGCCAGCCTTATGAGTTTAGTCCTGACCTCCTAGTGGTATCTAAGGGGTAATGTTTCAGAAAACAGACCGGTATGTGAAGGTCTAATCTGCATCAGTCTTGGTTGGGATTCGAAGGCTGGTGATGCTTCTGGTACAGTACACATATCCTGACTTGGAGCAGATGTGGGTGCCTGAGTCTTCCTGAGGCTAAGTGTGAATCCCAAACACACTTCTTAAGACTGTTGGAACACAGCATTTGTTGTGCTAAAGTGTTGGGGGCTATTGCAAATGTGGTATACACAGGACTTAATTTTGTGGTGCTTGGTATACTGACCGTCTACTATGCTGGTTTTCATTCTGGTGGCAGAAAAAGCTGCATTTCACCAGTGGTGGTCTTCCGCACTTATGATGGTGAATGCTTTCTTCATGCAGTCTTGGTAGGCTGCTGGCTGAAACCTGTTCCCTGTTTTGATATTACTCCACAAGAAATGATCCATGTTTGATGTAGGCCTGTATTTTGTAGAACGCACTTCACGGTATCAATTGGTAGTAATTCTTAACCTTAAAAAAAAAAGGTAAGTTGTCTTGTACATATGCTGTGTGTCATCTTTCTGGTGAGGTGACCTCTAATTTAAAGATTTTTTTTTCCATTTTTAGCCAGTCCACATAGTTTCCAATTATTTCTGTTAATTCTGTTTGTCGTGGTAGATGTGTAACACCTAGCTTTATCATGTTCTTTCCGCTTAAGGTTAAAGCGCATTATCAGGAGTGTTCTTCAGGCCTTAAAAAGATGCAAACTACTAGCTTTATTGTATGTTGGTTTTACTGACAAATATACCAAGCTCACTATCTTCTTGATCTCCTTTTGAATTTCAGCCAGCAAACCTTTTGTGCCGAGAGATGTAGGTCTTCATGACTAATTACACACTCAGGTTTTAAACTTATGATTGGTTTTGTTTGAGTGAGAGCATGAGGCAGGAAAGAAAAGTGATGCTGTTTTGTCTGGGATACTGGAAACTTTAAAAGAGGATGTTTTACATGAGGAGAAAACAAAACCCTAAACTGAAGTTGACATCTTTCCTGCCAGTTGCCTACTATACTAACATTGCCTTAAATGAAACATACTGTATGAGGATAGGTTTGCAATGCAAAATGGAAAAAAAAAAAAGCCTTTGAGATTTAAGTTGGCCAACCTGTGTTGACTGCATTGCACTAAAATAGCAAGGGAGGTAGACTAACTTGGCTTATCAGGTCCAGCTCAAGTTTGAGGGAACTTGATGTTGAACGTTAGCTGCTCATGTCAGCAGTTCCCATATTAACAGCCCAGGGTAAGAATGAGTTGGATTTATTTTTCTGTCCCCTGAGATTTGTGTCTTTCGCAGTTCTTGCAAAGAGTCAGGCTATTCATGTAAATGCACTGGTTCCCTGTGAAATTCTTGATTCCGGGAAATTTTTATTCCATGTTCTCAGGAATGAATGCCTCAGCTCTACCATGCTGCATTTGCAGTTCAGCACTTCTCACTTACCTGTGTCCTTTGGTCTTAAAATTCTTCTGCTGTCTCACCCATCCTCTTCTGAAATTGTTCATGCTAGTTGTGGTCAGAAATAACTCCTTCATACTGTGGGCCATGACTGCCATGGAGTTGCTCAGTGGGATGAGACCAATGCGTGGCCCAACCACTTCCACACTGAGAGCAAGGGTCAAGCTGGAGCGGGGCACTGAGGGCACTGCAGAAACCCGGTAAGAGGCAATGATGAAATAATCTGTTCCAGCAGAGGTTTCTTCCCAGCCACTGCTGAGAAGCTGGCCTGTTTTTCTGAGGTCTTCCGCTGTTACCCTGCCTAGAGTGATCTGATTATTTTAGCGGTGTGAATGCCATGCCCTTCAACACTCTCACATGTACTAGGGCAGCTCATGCTGCCAAATTCTGTGGCTCTTGACTGTTCGGCAGTTTTTTAACCTGGTGGCTGTTCAGTTTTGCTGGGAGATGCTCCTAGCTCTTGTTTAGGAGGAGGTACGTGAATTCCCACTTGGTCTTACTGGTGTGGCCAAAGCCTCTGATGCCATTCCCAGATACCCCTTTCCTGAGCAGTCTGTGCCTTACAAATAACTTGGAATCGTATGCCTTATGTTTCCATTGCCGTTCTTCAAGTACTTTATACCATGCATAAGAGAGCTTGATTAGAGCAGAACGCACTGTTCTTAAGCAAGGGTAGGCCATTGATTTTTATATGTGTTACGTTTTTAGGTTGTATAAAAACTTTGTGGAAAATAACAATGTTTTGTTTGCTTTTTTGACAGCTTCTAACAGCAGTTCAGTAAGACCTCCAGCAATGTATTTAGTATTCAAATTATTCTGTTCACTGTGTGTGATGTCAACACGTAATTGTGGTGGGGGCAGGCTAATGAAAGAGTAGAGGTAAATCCAGCCCACGCTTCTCAGGGAGAAGGTACTGTAGTGCCTCCAGTCACATATCTGTCAATGACTTAACATCCCTGCAGTCTGTGTCCGCTAAGTGAGAAGGGGTAACAGATAATGAAAACTGCAGGGCCATTTTAATAAGTGGTCCCCCTATTTTAGCCTTTATATATCCCAAATAAGTAGGTCAGGATCCAAGTTTTATTTACTGATTAAAAACATTTTGGCAACATAGTGGTCCTTAGTACTATCTTACAGCAAAAAGTGTCATCATCTCAGCTAGAAGTACTTCTGTTGACTATACTGGTGTATTCCTGTTTCAGCAAGTGCAAAATAGATGCAACGCTGCCCAAAGCTGAAGTCAATAGCAGCTCCCTGGACTTCCTTGTTTAAAGCACATTAAGCACAGTTCACCAAGAGTGCATGTTCTTGTACTTGGCCCACTGTGGTTGTTTTGCATGTTTGCAGCTGAATTTCCATAATTACAGCAGTGTAGGAGGCTTTCTGTCCTTTTGGAGAGGTTGTGTGCACAAAAATGCCCTCAAGAAGATGGGATAGCTAAATGCTGTGCAATTTGGGAGGTTCACCTGTCTGCAGAGCAACCCTCTAACATGACAAAAGAAAGGGAAAGGCACAGTGGCTTCTACAGTTTGCCATACATAAAAGCAATCGCTATGTCAAAGCTCTCAGCTCTGGTAGCACAGAGCAAGCTGCGCTTCATCCCACAGTCCCAGCATATAAGGAACAGCTATGTTTTCTCTCATATTCCTGAAGCAGCAGGGCAATTTAAAAAGGTCTGTTCTCCCCCTTGCTGTTTTCAGCCTCTTCATGCTTTTGTGTGGCTACCTCAGAAGGGAACTTGAGCCATTCTGTTATGTGGCTTCTTTCATCTTGCTGCTATCGGTGAAAAGCGACATTGTGCCACCCTGTGTCTGGTAGGAAAAAGTCCCCTCATCTAAAGTATCTTTAGAATAGGGAAGGCTGGCAGGAATATAAAGAAAAATGGTCAAAGATTTTGACAAACTAATTTTAATTTAAGACAACTTAATCAGGACTCAGTTTGCTGATTCCCCTCCATTTGTGAGCAAAGGTTACTGTACTCCTCTGGACTGACTGAGTACTGTGAAAGAACTTGTAGAAATTCTTCGAGTGGGCAGAGACCTGCTCTACATCCTTTCACCACTTGCTCCTGCAAAGGCAAAGAGACAAAATCACAGATCTTGTGCATTTCCAAAGCGCTTTTTTGCTGATATTGATGCATTCTGTAGCAGGGAAATACGCTAGTCAAGGCAAAGACAGAGAGAAGCAGAAGGTTTAAAGTCTTTGCCTAAAATCACACTAGATCAATAGCCAGCTCAACAGAAAAGATACCTTGGCTTCTAGGTGTCTTACTCTGCTATCTGGCTTGATGGCATGCTCAGAACAAGTCTTGTTTCACAGCTTTACATGCATGCATGGCAAAACCGCAAGTCCAAAATTTGTACGAGGGACTTCCTGTGGGATCTTACCTCTCCATGGTAAGACGTGCAAACAAACCATTCTTTGGACTGCCGGTGCTGATAAAGTTCCAGGGTCACATCTGCAGCATAAGGTGGCCACTTGTGATCAAAGGTGCCCAGTGCCACCAGGAGAGGAATGAGGGTAACATCATGAGAAGCATAGAGAATGAGCTTTCTGATAAAAAGGGAAGGAAAAAAAAAAAAACCCACACAAACAAAAAACAACCCTAAAATGTTAGCTGTGTTCGTCCATGGATAGCCAGCACTCATGCTTTTTCTAGCAGATGAGCACTCATTTTCTTTACCCACATACTCAAATCTTTCTGAACCAGTTTTTGACACTGGCAGCAAGTCAGAACTTCTTACAATGATTAGAGGAAGAGATCTGCCCTGTACCTGGCCTCTTCAGCTGGTGATGAGGAATCTACGGCTTCTGTAATGTTCTTCTGTAAGGTATGGAAAAGGAGACCAACACTCATCTGAAGAACTTCTCTATACAAAAGAAGCAGAAATAAATCTACTGGGTTTTAAACTTTCAAATTAAATAATTTCAAATGAACACCTGGGAACCTGCTTTTCCCTTACAAATTGATAACATATATTGAGTGTAGTTAAGAACTATTAAATGCAATTCCTATGATTACTTTTTTATATCAGCAGTTGCATAGTCACCACAGACATTCTAAGGTGATTGCAGATTGGGAGGGGAGAGGTGTTAACAAGCAGTCTCATGAGGTGTGGCCCACATAAAGGGAAACATAGAAACTTCTTGATATTCTCTATGCTATTTTGTTTCCCTTGTGATTGTTGGATGCATGATTTTCAGCTAGGGAAGATGACTATAGTTGACTGCAAAACAGCAAATCAAGTGTTTGGGGTCTGTGGTGGTGAAGGGCAGAGTCGGATTCAAGAACGTGGTAGCTATTAAAACTAAAAATTAGTTTTTATCCCTGTATTGAAGAAACAGGAGATATTTAGACAACTTCTGGTGTGAAGAAACTCCCTCTACCTAATGACTACATCAGTTGAAATGGAGGATGAGTGTGACTGCGGCTCTCCCAGGCATTATAGGAGTGGGGGAAATCAGCCATTCAGTATTCGAGATTTCTAATAGAAGCTAAAGAAAAGGCAGTCCTGTACCACCACCAGAGAAAAGCTGGTGAATATGGCAGCTGCGAATGAATCTGAAAGGAAAACAGCTGCTAGGCCAGCAACACAGCCACCTTTGCAAACAACTGTGGAGGAGGTAATTAACTACATGTAGCAGCAGATTCTTTTGCAAGTAGTTACATGTGCATGGGGCCTGGCATCACCTTTTCCACTAGCATCAACACTTCTCAGCCCAGCTGTGCAGGTGCCATCCCTGCGATAAACTTCCCAGGTTGGGAAGTTTAAAATTAAGGCTGTAGGGCAGCCTTGCCCGCGCAGCCTTAGCGCTCAGGCTGGAAGCGTCTCCTATTCTCTTCTGCTTTTGCCTTTGACACAGGTTCACTTAACTGTGCCAACTGAGGTATTCACTGCCTACCTCAGTGGCTTACTACTGTTCCTCAGAGACCACTCGCTCCACAACTGTTAGCAAACCAGGACGTAAGCCGACAGCTTGGCCTCCTTTGTCCTACCTTATGTTCCTGGCTCAAGGCACTGGACATTGCACTGAGATGGCTGAGGCACAAACCTCATGAGGGGGCAGTGTCTGGTGGGGGAATGCAGCAGACTGGAAAAGACTACTTCTACCTGCCACTGTAAACTGGTGTAGCTCATCCACCCTGGGTAAGCCTAAGATGACCCCCAAGGCTGGATGCATGGATACAGGCAATCACCTTGAACCGTCTTCCAGAAGGAAAAGCAGCGAGTCAACAGATCGACGCTCAACTGTCTGCTGAAAGTTCTTCAGCACGGGGCAGCTTGGCAAATTGTGCACCTGCAAAGAGAAGATGTGACATAACAACAACAGGGTTTGCCCCTTTCTGAACCTGGCCTGAAGACACATGGATGACTGCCCACAGAAAATGGCTGTTCATGTCACAGCACTGGTACTACAGTATGCACTACAGTATTCATGTGAGGAGTTCTAGGACTGTTTTAAATATACAGACTTGCTCCGTGTACCAAAACGACGGGTGTTTGTTCTTGAGGATACGTTTCTGTGTGAAGGAAGTGTAATGCCTTGAGCTATTCAACTGACAGCCAGACCAATTACTATTAGCTCCAGCAAAAAATAGGTACTAAGGGAGGTACAAATATGCCCAGTTCCCTTCCAGTAGCAGAAGCGATCTGGCTCACAGGTAGTATGCTGGAACCAGGATTAAGAAAACTCTATTAGGTGCTGACTGCCAGAAAAGGGACAGCACTTTGTAATGGGGTAAGCAAGTCCCAACTGCTCTCTTAGCTCTACTTCATTACACTTGAAAGAGATGCTGGATTTCAAGGTAAGAACATAAATACTGGAGATGAGTCTTCAGCCATCCTAGAGCAAGGCTGACTCCACATCTTGCTTTTTAAAAAGGCCATGCTATTTCTATAAACTTTCTGGATTGCATAGAAAGGTACTGGGATACACACTAGTACTGGTGGGTGTTGGCACTTTCTAGTTTCCTCTATATATGTGGTAAAGGGATGTTTCTGTGACAGTGCAACAGATGCACCTTGGCTCACCTGCTCAGCAAGAATGTTATCAAGGAGGAGAAAAAAATCCACAGATTTATCACCATCAATACCCATCTTCTCCTTAATTGTTTTCAAGTCATCAGAGATACCTGGCTGTTGCAGAGCATTCTTCAACTTACGCCTGTCAGGGAATTAAGAAAACAAAACAAAACTTTTCACTCTATCTTTTGTGGTTTTCTTGTGTGACCCCAGCCCGGTGGAGTTGTCTCACATCAGTGAGGGGTTCTACCTCTCAGGAGAAGCCCCACAGGATACTGATGAATTCCTGATGTTGGGAGTCCAAGCTGTGGAGCAGACAGGCACTATGTCTAGATGTCAAGGATCAGAGCTGGCTATCTGCTCTCACAGAGGCGGGGGGGAAAATTAAGATGAGCTGTGAACTCAGAAGTGGTTCCCATAAGCAAGGGCTGTGTATCAGTTAACAGATCTGGTCATACTGGAACAGTACAAGTCTGTGACTTCAGGGAGTAGCCTTTAACTGCCTCATGAAAGAAGAAAGGGTAGAAGCTTTGAACTGATTGCTGTATGGTGTGGGAAGAAGGAAACACCTAGATACTCACTTGTAGCTTAAATTCACCTCTTGCTTTGTTAGAAGCCATTTCCCTCTTTCACTGTTTTAAATTTCGTTTTATAGTTTAGCTGAGGATATCTGTGCTGGCCATGTACTTCAAGCAAAACATGTTGCATAGGTTTTGTTTTCTCTGACCCTCATCTGTTGGGGAGGAGGTAGGAAAAGTTTTTTTAGGTTTGCTTTTTATTATTTTATGAACACCTATAGTTTCTGTCTGAAATCAAATGCGCTAGAAATTCTCGCATATGTAGCCTGTAAGCTGAGGCAGTGCTTCTTACTGCAGCTTAAAAAAAAAATCCACCTTGACTTAGTCATAAAATGTGCTCAGCTGTGGGCTGGCGGGGAGGGAGCAGAAGAGCTTGCAGTCTACTCCCTTTTTGGACAGTTCATGTTACTAGAGGAGGCTGAACGTACCACTTCTATGTGCTGTCATCTCACCAATGTCAAGAACAATCCTTTTGCCTGCAGAGTCAGGCATTATATAAAACAAGCTTTTGCAAGTGAATTCTGACTACTCTTGAATTTTGGACAAAAATATGCTAATGTATAATCCAAGCAAACTCTCATACATTTTTTTCTTGTTCAGTCTCCACCCCATGCCCAACCTGGCACAAGCATTTAGAGTACTTGACTCTGCAAACATTAATGTTCTTTCTATGTAAGATGTTCCTTATTTTACTTCACTTTTACTTAGTCTTCGTTAAATGTGTCAAGGCTGAGTATATTTCAGTTTCTTCAAGGTATAAATATGACAGGAATGTTGTAATAACCCCCAAACCAGAAGGTGAATATAAAAAGGAGGCCAAATATGTTCACGCTTGAAAGGCCTGTTAAAGGATGTAGATGACATTAATTTTGTCTTGCAGCAATGCCTCAGAATAGCTGTACATTAGCTAGTAATGAGTGTTTGCTAGACACAGACTAAATTAAATTGGTCTTTCAAGAAAAAGTCTCTTTTTTTTTTTTTCTTCTGGTGCCACTGCTTGGTATATGACTCTGCTCACTGAGTATTTTATACTACTAGATAATCACTCCCAAAGAACAGTAAGTGGCAGGGAAGTTGGAAAATGGGAAGAAAATGTGCTGTCTTAAATTACTACTCCTGAAATGAAACAGCAGTGAAATGATATGGGGAGGTATGACTGGCAATTACCTGCTCAAGCATTTCAGGCGTTGGCAGTTGTGGTAATTGGGGTAGAGGATTTCAGAGCTTGCTTCATCAGTGACAATGACAACAGATCCTGTGGAAGGAGAAGGAAGCTTCTGTGATCACTAGTGCATCTGCGTGTCTTTAGACTGCTTTAATCACTCCCACAGTCTTTGTGCTCAAGTCTGTTGTTGTCAACTAGCAATTCCCCATAAAAAAATATCGCCCGCAACACACTGCTTGTTTCTGTGCACACAGCATTTAATTCCACAGGGATGTCTGCTGTGTGCCTCGTAAAGCTTTCTAGTTATGTGTTCATTTTTTCTAGTATTTGTACGAGCCAAAAATTAGTTTCTGTGTCATGAGGTGTAAGGAGTTCTGGCAAATCACTTCTACTGTTTGCTCCTGGAACTGAATGCAGAGGGAGCAGCAGTGAGATCTTCAAAACCCACAGTGTATTTCTGGGTTTAGGACATACAAGTAGTTGTCAACTGTAGGAGACAGCTGAAAGTTACTCCAGATACTGAACTTGTAAAGGATCTTGGCCGAAATGCTTGGGTTTCTCTGAGAAAGCTTTTACAGATGTGCAGCTTGTGAACACTGGAGCTGGAACTTTTTGCCCTCTTGATTCTGAAGCGAGTTAATGCTAACCTCCTCAGCAGATCTGAAAAGGCAGTATTCATGGCAACAGATCCAAGCGCAGCACCAGCAGAAAACTCCACAAAGAGAGGGAGCGAGTGACAAGTTGGTAAAGAACATACAGAACCAGGAGAGGATGGAAAAGAGGGCCAGGTGCAAAGAACCAGGCAAGAAGTAATGACCAGGAGCCAGAGAGAGTTGGGATGTGCAAGGTGTGTGCATCTGGGGAAGACTGAGAAAGGAAAGGCACTGGTCAGAAGTCTCCCCAACCTTCTTTCTGCTGTTGGTACAACCCAGCTAGCAGGCACCGTGTGGACTCCAGGTTCCGGAAAATATTAGTGGAACGGATGCTGAAAAAGAGAAAGCAGTTTGTGAGGTAGCTCTTTCTCCTTCATGTGGACATGGCTGCAGCTAAAACTGAGGGTTCTGCTTTCACCATGGCTTTGGAAAGCTGCGGTGGAATTCATTTTGCCTTGGTATAGCTATCTTAAAGGGCAGTTCAGATACAGGTATCTATTTAACTTCTTTTCAGAGACAGTGGAGATGATAAATTGGCACTTCTCTGGTGTAATTTTTGTCTCATCCTAAACCAGACACTCCCAGAACTACTGATGTGAGCAGCAGGGGTGTGCTTCATCTCCCTGAACTTTAGCTATTTAATCCACAGTGAGTTAAACTGTGCTCCAGAAATGCCTGTTTCTCTTCACTCACCATGAAGGTGCATAATACCACTGTCAATAGCTAAACCTAGATGAGATGAATCTGTCCCTGGCATCGCTCTCAGGACTGCTGGGGCATCGGATGCTCTGTGTCACAAGTGAGTTCTAGTATTGGGTTCTGCAGACGGAGCAAAGATGAAGGCCCAAGGGCCAGCCAGTCAGCTATAGTGTGGAGGAGGGTATGCTGGTCAGCAAGCTTCCCTAGCACAGGGCTACCTGTTAGGAGGGAGGAAGCAAGGGAAAGTCCAGGTGGGAACTGAGAGACTCACAAGACCTCAGCAGGCTTAAATGTTGGTGAGAGAAAGTTGGCTTCTTCCACATAGCTTCTCCTCAGCCTCTCCCCCAGGGCAAACATCTGCTGCATCCCTACTGTTGTCAGCTGTCCTGCAATTGCACCACCCTAAGTGCAAAGAAAAGGAAAGGTCTTCAGTGGAATATGGAAATAAACAAGTCTACAAAGGAAACACAAAACCACCATGAAATACAGCCTCACCTTGAATGTGGTCTTTTTGTATTGCTCCTCATAGGGTGAGGGAGGTCGAGGTCCTCCATTTAAGTCAGTCACAGTGTAATCAAACTTAGTCTGAGCAGGCACATCTAAAAGAGTGGGATGCCATTCCACCTGTTTCAAAACAAGCAAGCAACAAACAAACAGTGCTTCAGCAGAAAATGAGGACTTTCAAGAGCACTAAACCAATGCTGGTCTGTTATTCTGTGCTGCCTTGCCAGTAATGTGACACAGAGCCAAGGAGCTTCTCTCTGTATGGCACATACAGAAACGACAGCAGTGCTGCATCCTGCATTTGCTGATCTGCTGCGCATCGCGCATGGATGATGGCAGGAGCCGCAGTGTTTGCCTTCCTCGCCTATGGGAGAAGCAGCTGTAGGAAATCGCTGTTGCTGCTCTTCGTTACACACCAAAAAGCTGCTTTATCGAACTACCTGAACTAGCCCCCGCCAGCTCAAGAGGCTGCCTCGTTGGAGGCTATGGGGAGACGGACCAACCGCGGTGACGCCGAGGCACGTAAGCACCCGCGGCAAGGCGTGGTGCTGCGGGGGCTGGGCTCAGCACTAGGCCCGAGCGAGCGAAGCCGCGGGGAGCAGCGCGGACTCGTACTGTCGCCCCCGGACGCCCCTCACTGGGCTCCCTGCAGCCTCCACCGCGCCTCTGCCATCACCCGTCCCGCCAACAGGCGGTGGGAACAAGCTATCGCCGTTCCACTTGAACCCCCAAATTCACACTTTTCCACAGATTTACACTCAGTAGTGCCTTGGGAAGGGGAGAAAAAAAAAAAACAAACAAAACACAACCCAC